GGCGGACTGTCGGCTTTTGATAAAATTGAATGCTTTTAGGTGAGCGTTATAGTTCACGCTCCTTGTTAACAACCCATTGCATCTACTGTTCCCTTGAATGTTGTCTTCTGTAAACTGTGAACACTAGAAACCATGTTGTTATTTTTCCACTTTGTCCCACCCGTGCACAAAGAAAACTTGTTTTCTCAGAGTGGAATCCATTCCTCCCCTTCAGTCTTCTTCATAAAAGGTAATGGATCAGACAATCACTTTCAGACCGGATCTATTGTGGACCATCAATGTGTCAGCAGTCCTCAAACCATCACCCTCTTACAACCATCAATACTAATAGCATCATCTACAGACAATTATTCCCATCGAAGCGCACGGAACAGCGAACAAATCAAAGCCAAATTGGATTATGAATGTAATGCAGTGTAATGCCCCCTCGAGAGTCAATTGATCACAGAGGAGGGAGTCGTCAATCGTTGATGCCTTGTGGAAACCAAGCAACTCTGTGCACTGGCAATTGTGCCATTTGGATTCCCATCGTCTTTTTTTTGTTATCCAAACGCTTCTACAAACAAAGACTGTGACGTCCCGTTTGGATGGCTCCGAAGAGCTATTGTATTCCACTTTGAAAACAGTCATACTTTTTTTGGTTCTTATATTTTTCATAATTTATGATCTCTTTTCCAAATACGCTAATTAAGGGTGCATTTTCGAGTAAAGTGCTAAATCTTTGTTGAAGAATACGTACAGTGTGTGTGTGTGTGTGTGTGTGCGCGCTCCTTGTCTGGCCTTTGACCTCCAGTTATTGCCGCCAAATGAATTTTGTTTTTCAGAGTAGGTTGTTTTTCATAATATGCTTTTATTGTAATAAGAGAGCGCGCTTCCGCAAAATGATTCTTTTCAATCGTGATTAACGATGCTTCTTAATCCTGAATGAATCCGGGGGCACTTAAGGTTAGTATGGACCACAGTGAATCTTACTTTAGCTAAAAGAGGTTCATAAGGACATGCAATTAGTGCGCTGATATGAATACCCACTAAGTGCTTGTTTCCATAAACGCATGTTAGTCCATTCATCTTTTCTATGATGCACCTCGACAGAAAATTCCCATGATGTGACTTCCTACTTGTACTTTTATCGGTGAAGGAAAATGTGTGGAATACATTAGACTGAGAGAAATATCGGATTTAAATGGACTCTGGCTTTAAAACCAATCATGCAGTTCTCTCTCCTCATTTGTATTTCTTCGGTATTAGAGCCTGAAAGGGGCTGATTATAATGCATCCTCATATTTCAGCTAATCCAGATGTATTTCTTTCGCTTTCATGAAATGAAGAGAAATGAAACATCACAAACATTAGTTACCCACCCCCCCTTCAAATAAAAAAGAAAAGAAAAAAAAATACAAATAGCGGATGCCGGAACAAAATAGACTTGGATCATTTCCAGTCACTTTTAATACAGTACAGTGTTGCAGCACCACTGGAGTGACTGAGCAGGAAAGAGGGAAATGTTAAATGATACAAATTATTTTTCCCTAATTAATATGATTGATTGCCAGGCATTGATGTTGAGAGGAGAGGCGAGAAATGTGTGAAAGGAAAGTTTGCACAGACATCATTAGTTTTTCCCCCATTTAAAGATTAATCAGAAGAGGCTGGGCTCTTTAATTCTGTCATTTGTATATTTAATGGGCTGCAGCAGAATCTATGGGTGTAATTAGCTAGCTGCCGCGCTCTCATTAATACGCCGAGCTCTGATTAATGCCAGCAGAGAGCTAACATGACTGGAGTTATTCAGGTTATGTTGTCTCGATGATTACACACAACCTCGTCCGTTTACCAAGACAGAGAGAGCAGAACAAAAAACAACATGGCAAATAATACAGACAACTTAAGAGTTGAATGGATATTGTTAGCCATTTTAAAATCTCGTGTTGTCGCTGAAATATTCCAGAAATCTTGTGATAATCTCCAATGATGTCATCACCAATTGTGATAAATCCCCTTTTGGCGTTCATTTGGTAAAGTGTGAACTCAGCAACTGAATCAATCAGAATCTGTATTTTAAAAACAGGCAAGGGGTTTGTCTCGTTTGAGCCGCTCGAGTATTGTATGCAACCACCTATCGCGAAATGACGTGATACGTAAGCTTACATCAATTTTAAAAGCATTGTTTCAGTATTTATTGATGCCAGCATTTCATTTAACTTTACATTCATCTACAGCGCCACTGACCAATCATAGAAGAGCTCGCTCTCACATGTACGGTTGTTGCGATGCATTTTGCTTAGCATGGATTTTTGTTTGCGACCAAAGCAAGTGAACTCCATTATAGGTAAATGGTCAAATGGAGTGTGCTTCGATAGCTTCATCTCCACCATCTTGGTGCCCAAAGTGCTTTGCAAATTAAAATGAGGCTTCGGTGTCTTGCCCGAGGACACTTGGACAGCTGACGGTCAACTGGTGACACTTTGGTTCCTGAGCGACCAGCTCTACCAACTGAGGCACAGCCATAGGTGTGAAGGCACCCTTAAACACAGCACTTCCAGATACTTTTGTCTCTAGACCGTGATACGCCTTTTCCAATGATCTGACTCCCTGTCGAAAATACTTCCGCTGATTTTGTGCATGTGTGCCGCGCAGACGCCTGTCATGATGTGTGCTCAGGTCTGTTTGTTGATGGCTCCAAAGTGGTTGTCAGTGTGAAGTAGCACAAGTCCTGGGGGGAATCCCAGGGAAGTAATGCTGAGCACGAGCAAAGTGTTACTTAGCTGCTGTACATTTGGACCTTTCTGAGCATGTGTTGACAGTCTGTCTCTCCCTGTCGAGCAGATAAACACACAATCATTTTGATACGTGCCTGAAATGTTCCATTATTCTTACAAAAGCAACGGATTTCTTTAGAGCGAAGTCGAATAGATTTTTTTGAATAACCATATTCCGTAATTACCTCTGCAAAGGAAGCTTCCACCAAATTCCACAACACAATTAATCTGTGTGCTAATTTGTTTAGGATACAGCAATGTTTGAAAAGCTTTTAAAATGTTTGAAATTCTATTCAAGTGTGTTGTGATCATAGATTCATTTACTAATATAGGCAATTATGGGGAATTTTAGGGAAGCATCAATTATTCAAGAACGTGTGATCATTGCCGTATTGTCTTTTTTAAGGCAGAATTTATTTCACTGTTCTTGTATCACGTGATTCAACAGTGCAAGTGTACGTAATGTAGAGTCAGGTTGAGGAAAGAAAAAAAAAAACAAGATCCATAAATGTTGATGGTTGCTGTAGTAGGAGTGGTTCATTTGAAAATGGAAAAATCAAATAAACTGAAACGCAAAAAAGAAAAAAAAAGAGAGAGCGAGAAATGCCAAAGAGGTCGAGAAGAAAAAGGGGGGAGGTTGAAATCAAGGGGAAGAGATCAGAAGAGTGTTGCGGAGAAGGTTAAAAGGGGGTAATGTAATTGTCAGGTGTCTCTCATGACTTCACTCTCCTTTGCACTGACAAGGTCGCCAATGTAAATGACACATGCCTGCTTGATGCTCACAACGCATGTTCAAATGCAAGGAATTTTTGAGTACTTCTTCAATCTATACTGTGCACTCTCAACAACCGTGGTGATAAAACATTCAAGAGAGAAACAAGTCAATAAGGTCATGCCATAGTCGGCATAAAAATAATGTTATCCTTGAATGAAGTAAAAATGGCCGGTGAATTATGATTTTCTTCCAAACCAAATATTCATACTATCATACAATCTCTGGTATTGGTGCCTTCTCTTCATTTGAGGGACTACAAGTACAGAGAGTGGAAACACCAAAGAGACAAAGTTTGTTCCAAATCAAACAGGAACTTGTTTGCTTTCACTTTGTGAGCAAGCACCGTGAAGGAGAAGGATGGGTATGAAAAGTGAAGTGACGCATTTGAGGCGGAGAGAAGAAGACACACATCTTTGAAGGATTTTGGTTTTTACAGATAAAAGCAAGCGATTACAAGTAAGATGTGTTAAAATCGTGGAATCAAGTTTGTCCTCTGGGGCTCGTCCTCTCAGCTTCATGTTTTCCCAAAGTATCCTAGTGGTAAGATTATCCCCGACAGTTGGCTTAGAGAGAAAATGAAGTCCGCTTGGAGGTATGGTGTAATTGGGATATCGTGAACTTGATGGAGATGTAACAAGAAATATAAATGAATGTGTTTGTGGAGAAAAAATACAAAGTAGGAGGGAATTGTGTTCAATAGTCTTTATGTAACAGTTGTACAACACTTTAAGAATTATAAAAATCCTTCCGCTCAACTTTGTTTTGACGTCTCAATGTGGTTCAAGTCATATAAGATGAAATGAAATGTTTGGAGTAGACTATACGATTACTGTTGTGTCACAAAACTCTCACTATGCTCATTTTACTTGACTTCAGGTGTTGAATTGAGTTTCAAGACTCGCTCTTCGGATGGCTTGCTGCTCTGTGCCCTGTCTCCTGGAAGTCAGGAAGAATTTCTGGCAATTCAGATTAAAAATGGACGTCCCTACTTTTTGTTTGACCCTCAGGTATGGACATTTTTTTTTGGTTTTGTTTTATCACCATCACAAATAACAGTCAGAGAGAAGAATGAATGCTTTAGTTGCCATATATAACTGTTTCGTAGTTAAAAATCTAATTCTGCCCACTTGACATATTTGCTCACCTCCAACAGTCTTTTTTTTTTTCTGATCCACCTCCTCTCCACTCTTCTTCTGTCTCTTTCTGTCTTGTCTTCCCTCGCCTGCTCTCATCTTATAAATGTGATCTGTAGCCCGCTCATTGCGTTCTGTCAGGGAGATAGAGCGAGAGGCGGAGGGGTGTGGAGGGGGGGAACTTTAAAAGTGTGTCAACGTTTGAATTGGACTGCAATTAACTCATTCCCTGCAGTCACCACGCGTGAATACCAATTGCAAGCTAATTAAGCTTTGCACCCTTGTGTGCGCGCGCGCACACACACACACACACACACACACACACACACACACACACACACACACACACACACACAGCCTCTCTTCCCTTATCCATCCTTACAGACACATGTAGAGGGGTTGAGGAGTCAATGACTTGGATGATGAAAGCAATGATAGCAGATGATTGCGCACATTTCCATGCGGTCACCATCTAATTAGGCTCTCAAACAAAAACATGCACACAGCGCACACAGAACAGTATATCCCTTCCTCATCAGTGTCCATGCAGTACTTGGAACCAAATGTCTTTATCAAATTGTAGCTCGACTATTAGTCATATGCTGCATGATTGTGTGTGTGTGTGTGTGTGTGTGTGTGTGTGTGTGTGTCTTCTGCAACTCGGATGACTTTTTTGTTTAGGGTTAGTTTGGAATAATTAACTGCGGGAGGAGTCTCACGGTTTATTGGTGTTCCCCGAGTTACATCCAGCCTGGCTCATTACTTTTCCCTATTAGCCTGTTGCGCTCGCCTAATGGGATTACTACTGCACGGTGTGTAATTTAGCATGACCCGGGCAAGTGATATGATTATGAAGGGCCTACATGACAAACACGGCGGACTACAAGGTATAGTAGATTTCAACAAACAGCCACTGATGTTACATTTTGGCTGACTACAGGCACTTCTTTATTCCTTTGGAAATAGAGCGGAAAAGCACACTGGTGTTTATGTTCAAATATTTTCCGATACAAATGAAACAGCGTTTCGGAAAAAGCAGTAGGTTGAACAAAATCTCTTCCATTTTTATGCTGACAAAGCCATCGCATTTAAAGCTGTCAATGTTGTGCATCAAACTTTTTTTTAACACCCGAGTTATATAAGTATAGGTTTTACACTCTGGCAATAGCGCAACAGCTTCACATGTGACTTAAGAAGCTGTTAAAATAAGACCGCTAATATTTATAATCCAGCCATCAATGCAACAGATGGCAAAAAGTGCCTTAGTGAGCAAATTAACACCAATTTTCGGTGTGTTACACGTTTGTGCATGTCTTTCTTTTAAATGACGGCTTTTGATATTCCAAGCTGTTCATTGTCAGTTGTTGGTTCGGTTGATTAAAACTGTGCCATTGAAACTATTGATCTTTCTGTTGTCTGATTTCACATTTGAATAGTTTAGCCCCTTATCGATCACATGGAGTTCGGGCGGCAGCGCAGTTAATTCTTGTGATGACTTACTCAAGGGCACCAACACTTGAGAGTTGTTTAGCATTTGTTGAGTATTTAATTGGCTTGAATTTGGTCTGGTTGTGTCTCGCATTCACAGAGCGAGGGCGAGGCAGCGCACCACTTGCCGGCTGCCTTGTTAAGAGGAGCGAGCTATCCTTGGTTGTAAAGATGCCAGAGGCTGATGTACTTTGGCATTCATACATTTATTGAACCCATCATTAAATCTTCATCACTGTTTGTGTGGGCCTCTGTGCTGTCAGTGATTTTTTTTTTTTTTTTTTTGTGAGCACTGATCTGGCGCTCATGTTTTACTACATTCCTTGTGTCTAACTTACTAAAAGCTGTTTGCAACAATGTCGTCAGACTTAATGCAGACATCCGTCTTCAGCCACGCTGGAGTGTGCTTATGCTGATTTTACATGAATGAGCATGGATTGCAAGTGCCATGTATGCTGTTGCCCAATACTAGTTACACAAAAATATAGAAGACCTTAACTTGGTCAGAGTCTGTAGTTCTGGTCCATTACAGTATGACTTGTGCAAACTCACGTTTTTGGGTGGCTGACTTTGCGTGTGGCTGAGTTTGTGTGTGGCTAATGAGCAAAGCAATTAGCTAATATTGATTGGCCCCTGCTATCGCCATCTAATGACGACAGTATACACACGTTTTACTTTTCAGCCTCTTGTTCAAGAAGTTGGATGACCCAAAGAGTTGTAAGTCTTCCCTTATGCTGCTGTGCGTAGGGCTCGGCGGTGGCTGTGAGTGCACAAGGGGACGGGGGGCGTCACTACAGCGATGGAAAATGGCACCACATCATAGCAACCAGGCGAGGGGCCGTGGGAACAATCGTTGTGAACAATCAATACAGAGGTAACGCATTTATACTGACCGCCGCATGTATTGCCTGTTTGTGTGGGTGTGTGAGTGTTCATGCAAGTGTCCATACATGCAAGTCCGTTAATGTATCTAGCGTAGGAGGTAGAAGTAATTGTGTGTGCCTGCTTCATTGTGTGTAAACTTCCCAGTTGTTGAGGTATTAACCAGGTTAATCCCGGCTGCTCTTTGAGGAATCTGGGGAGGAAACTACTGCTTTAGACACACACAAAACACACACACACACACACGCACAGAAACTCATTTTTCTGTCTTGCTCTCACATTTTCAGTGGTATGTTAACTTCAGTGCTTCATGTCTTGTAATTCATTAAAAATGAAGCAGATTTAGCATTGGTTCTGGTTAGTGTGTAGCATGCTGCCACTTCCAATTTTTTTTTTTCATTGAAGAAATTTCAAGTACGCCGATATGAGAGCTGGGAATTCCATGGTGACTTACATTACAATAAATCCTGTCGCATATTGCGAACTGTTGTGTACCAATAATTTCACAGTACAGTCATAATTAATACATTTGAAGAAAAACAATTCTCACAATTTCTTTGCGACCGGAAAACTTTTTTTCATGCAAAATATGCTCAAACTTCACCTCAAGTATTTGGTGGCAGAAAATCATAAAGCGATATTTGATGATCGGGTATCGACGAAAACCATACGATAGCTCAGGATGTTCATACTTTGTGCTATTGGTGATATCTTCACTGCATTTGATGCCCTTAAAAAAAAACCCAAAAAACATGTTGCTCTCTTTCCATTTGTCCGTCAAAACTCTCCAAAATGCGCATACGCTCAAACTTGGAATCTCGCTCTACTATACCAGGCAGTTCTTCAGCCTCTAGCGGCAGCACTATAATTGGCGAGAATACAGGACTGTTCATTGGAGGACTGCCGGAAGCTTTGGCTCTACAACGGAAAGATTCCGGTGAGTCAATCTCCACCCACTCTTGGAATATGAATAGAATTTGCACGGTGTCCATTGGCATTTTGTGGGCAATAATTACAAAGGGTTTTCTTTGTGTTTTTTAATGTACTTGTGTCCTTGGAAACATCTGGTCATCCTTAGGTCAGGGCTTGAATTGCATCTGAACTGCATGCAGAACTTGGCTGCGTATTTTAGGCATAGAAACCATGTAGTAAAAACCTTTTAAGAGTGACAGGTGAAGTTTTGTTTTGTTTTTTTCTGTTCTTGTCTGTGCTCACCAGGGTCTGCCCGGCTGATGCGACGGGGTTTCTCTGGTTGCCTGAGGGACGTGCGTTTCAAGATGACTGACAGCCCCTCGGAGCAGTGGAGATCTCTGGACTGGACAAAAGCCACAAATAAAATGTCAGCCTATGAAAGCTGGGAGGGCTGCCCGATTCATACGCTGGACGGAGCCCATTTTCTGGGTCATGGTAGGACACTGTTGATTGTTTTTGATAATACGACAAATTTGGAGCCTGAGAGATGTTATCGTTATTGTCATACTTGGGGAAGCAGAGATTGGCAGGTCAGTCGGATATTAAGTGGGCATGTCACAATTTCGTTTGGGAGGTTAACATTTAGTGTATCTCCTAATATTTCCATGCTATTCCCTCTTGTGTTTAGGTTACTTGGAGTTAAACAAAGATGTGTTTAGTGGAGGAACGGAATTCAACATCTCAATGGAGTTTAGAACAGACCAACTTAATGCACTTTTGCTCTTCACGTACAACACAGAGACTCGTGACTATATGCTGGTAAGTTGTGCCTCATTGAAGTATGTTTTAAAATAAATCGGATTTGGAAATAATGCGCAACATGGTGATATCTCTCGGGTTGGTGTGTATGTTTAGGTGGAGCTGAAGGGCGGTCTTCTGTCATTCCTTCTCTCCACCGGAGGTCACGTGACCGAGCTTAGCATGTGGGCAGGGCTTAGCTACTGCGACGGAGGATGGAAGGTGCTCGCACTGGCGAAACACGGTTCACTCATCTCGGCCGCAGTTGATGGCTGGGCAGAGGAGGCAAGGGGAGCGGGAGCAGCGGGAAGGCTTTGGGTTGACTCACCGTTATACCTGGGTGGGGTGCCACCTGAACTTAAGCACAAGGCTCTGGACATCCACAGTCACAGACATGGTGAGATATGTGTCTGGCCCAAAGAATCGGACAAATTAGATCTCCATCATTTAATTGTATTGGTGTCTCTTTGCATGTGTGGTGTTCATTTTTGGATTCATTCAAGTGGACTCTCATGCCACATAAGGGAGATCTGCAGAACTTAATGATATCCAATCAAACAGAAATAATAATACTCCGACAGGCATTCATTTGCTAGCAATAAATTCAGCTCAGTCCATAAGCCGCAGTTTCGCAAATAGTGAACAGTTTTTCAAGAGGGGCTTCGAGCTGTTGAGTTCCACTCCTAGTTGAAGTTTACTGTCAAACTAAACATCAAACAAAGAAAATTACAAGTTATGTACTTTAGAAAGTTCGGCCCCCTCTTGCTTAATGCTGACACAATAGAAAAAAAATAAAACATCGACGTGCCAACAGTTAGCATGAATACTTGCGGTGTTGCAACCTTTAATGCAGTAGATATTTGAATAGAAATGGCGTAGCAACACGAGTAGACAATATTGCAATATTCACGGGTAAATATACTTTATCCTCCACAGAAAATGAAAATCAGTGCCTCTTATTTACTTACTGAGCATGGTGGCGACTTTCTTTCATTTCATTCGTGTGCGCGCATGTGTGTGTGTGTGTGTGTGTGTGTGTATATACAGATATTATACTCCCTCCCCCCCCCGATAAAGCGGCAGTACAATGAAAGAAATTCAATCAAATCATTTTGCACAAACTGCTTAATTCTTTACATTCTATTTAATAATCATATTACAGAATGGTTGTGTATTGTACAATTTCATAGAGTGCACATTACAACCGTTTTATTTTTATTATTGTTGTTGTTGTTATTATTATTTTAGCTGACCAGAACATATTAATTGTATTTCCATTCATTTAAATCGTGAAAGTTGAATTGAGAGACCTCTGTTTTCAGTGACTTGTTTGGTCACGACGCGAATTTGTGAAACTCGTATCTTAAGGCACCACTACGCAGGTAGATCTGTGCTGTCAACGTGCATGGAGCTAAATCACCAAGAGTGTGAGTCAGTGAAGTTCTAGAGCAATTGTGTGGTGAAGTGGTGAGTATGGATACATGAACAGAAAATTGTACTTTGTACTTTGTCATGCTAAACCAGGAGAATTACTTGATGCTCAGTGAATACTAGATGACGACTTGATAAACGAGGTGCGATATTGAGACAGAAACTTTCTTCTCATATCCTTTTCTCCTTCTCCTCTCTTTCTCCTTCCCCTCCTTCCACCCTCGCAGGCTTTGGAGGTTGCATAAGAGGCCTCACCATTCAAAGTGATAAAACAAGCCCTCCTGTCAATCAAAGAGTTAATCTCTCTGTAGCCTCGGGACGCTCTGTTAGAATCTACCTCGATGGCTGTCCGAACAGTGAAAGTCGTTACAACTGCAGGGGCAATGATTCGGTGTTGGCCTTCACTGGTAGAGAGACACATGCCTTTGATTACAGTCTGCAGCCATTCACTGGTAAGAATTGCAAATCATCTTTTTCATCAACTCGTTCTGTCTGACCCGTCGACTGTATAAGATGAGTGCATTTGGGAAGCATGATGTCACAGTTGCCCACAATTACCAGAGAGTCTCCTCAGCGGAATGTGAATTACTGCGGCGAACATGTGAGGCATGTTTTCCCCATGCATATTTCAAGGTCAGCAACTCTTTGGACAACCGCAACAAAGTTTGTATCGCATACATGTATTACATCAAAACAAATAAATGGAATACGAGGTATGCACTAAGCCACTCCGGATAAATGCTGTAGCTTTATAGGTTTGATGTACTCCCTTGGTCCTCTGAAAAACCATCTGAACATCAGGCTTTTTTAGCATGACATTGCTCTATAAACATTACTGAGAGCGGAGATTTACGCGGCTTTCACAGACGGGGCCCGCACACATCCACACATTTTCCAAAATTACACTTGACCTTGTGTGCGCTGTAGGCGGAGCGCTGCACTTTTTACTTTGCTGTGTTTTAAAATTGAAAATGCAAATTTGAATGTGTGGGGCAAAGTCAAGGTAAATGAATATGAAGCTCACCCAGAAGGCCACTGAATTCTGTCCAGTCAAGCGACACGAAAAGGAACTGCGAAAGTATAGTGCGGGATTTCTGGCAGCAGAATGACTCATATATTTTCACAGGAAAAGACAACTAGGTGCAATCAAATATGTGGCATGTTCTCTGTTCAGTTTTATGATCAACAATTTTAAAGTGCTGCTCAGGATCAAGGTATATGGCATCACTTCAGGATATATTCTGAAAATATTTAGATTTTACGTGTCGTCGACTTGCGCTCCTAAACATCGAAAACCTTTAATTAAAGGGGATTATTAATGGAGGCTCTTCACTGTGCCTCCTTAAATGTCTTTTCGCATGTTATTTTTGTGTAAAATGGGAACACTTCTGTCTCCTGGATAAAAGATATGAACAAGTCTGCCTTTTTATGAATCAACGCTACACCTTTAGGTACGCTGTGCTTTCATCAGATAGATAAATTCCCTGTAAGCATACCGTGGCTTCTCTCCATGCGACACACTTGGGCCCAGAGTTGGGATGAAATTTGCTCAGTTTGGTCAGTTTTGTCACTAAAAGTGAGCAGATAAGAGAGTCCGATGCGCGTCCCAATTAATCTTGTTATGTATCCGTCAGCAGTCACATCATCCATAAAACACCAGTGAGCCCATTCAATTAGCATCCATATATTCCAATGTCATAGCCCTGCCTCCATCATGTTGGGCACATGATGCTTTCGATCATGGGATTAAAATAAATAAATAAATATATATATATATATTTTTTTTTTCTACGAGCACAAATAGGACTCCAGAATTTATTTACTTTGCTCTCCAGTGATTCAATGTGCTCATCCGTTTTGTATCTTGTCAAAATTCTTTACTGTATTTAGATTCATGAATGCATATTTTTGGATGATTCAGTGAGTTTTAGCAAAAATTTTTGTCATGCACTTTTTAATTAATTTTTTTTTTTTTTCGATCCCAATCCTAAACTCATCCTTCCATGTTCATTCGCACCCGAGAATACTTGTATCGGATCATAGCTCTCGGCGCAGGAGGCTGGGCGGCCTCGCCTTGGCAGAGAGTACGCAGCTGCGGCAAAGGTAAGACACGCTGCTCCATCTAAATTGTTGACTTGATTTCCATTCACAAATTCTCCACCAAAAACGTTTTGAGCCCTTCCGTGACTTAAGGCAATTTGGAACCGCTCCCACCTGTTGGCGTTTCTCAAGAGATTTGGGATGAAAAAGCACTCCAACTTGTACAGTGTGTGAGTTTCATCCAGGGCTCGTGATATTACACTTGCCTGACGCTATGAGAGATTGATAAAGCCACCATAAAGGGCATCCCAGTAAAAGGCTGTTAACCCAGAACGGCCCGGGTTCTCCCTGGTGTAATATAAAGCTGCTCATTAGTAGTGAACGATACACTGGTAGGTCTGGTGTGCTGTGACCACAGAGAGGAATGGAGGGGAGGGAGGAAGGAAGTGCTAATAAATACATTAAGAAGCCAGAGAAGAGGCGAGGATGGAGGATTGAGAGGCAAAGGTGAGAGCTTACCGAAGGGGGACAGCAAGAATGAAAATGGAGGAAAAATCTGCAGAATGATTGAGTAATCAAGGCAGGAGTGAAAGTGGAGAAATATTGGCATGGTGAGGAAATTACTCTCCGGTCATAAAATAATTTGTGAGTCGAGAGATATTTTCCGCACTTCAGACAGAAATGATAAAAGGTTTGCTGCTTGGCGGCGTATTAAAGAGAAAAAAAAGTTATACACTGTGTTCAGTATTCTCTTAAAGTAGTTCTGCTCCACATTGTAAATCCTCCAGCACCAGAAATAGACGAAGACTAGTGGCAGATGTACAGAAACACAGAGAGATAGATGGAGACAGGAAGTAAAGAGGATGCGGCTGTTTTGACAGTCGACGCTCCCACTGGCATCTTCCGCAAGGGAAGGAGAGTACGGCTGAAAAGGAGAGAGGTTGATTATAGTGAAATATAGCCCAGAATGAATGGGTGGCTGCATTAAATCAGCGCTGAAAAAGTTACTACTCCCATAAATAGTATTTATGCTAATGGGAGGCATGATTTAGTGGGCCTATTAAGGCATGTAAAGATGGGGGAAGCTTTTACTTGAACCTCTTGTACGTCCAACCTGTTGTTTTGCCTCGTTTTGATATATTTTCTGTCTTTGTACATGATTCGCTTATCCCACATACATTGCTCTGTGGAATATGTCCTCTGGATCAGGGGGGGAAAAAGTTTTTAGACAAACCTTTTAATTATATCCCACCAAGATAGATTAAAATTGAACCGTCCCTTTTAAATTTTAAGATTGTGTTTTGAACATGCTTACACGGTGTGCTTACACTGATTTCACGAGTCAAGACACCCATTAGGTAAATGTATAGATTTTCATTTTGTGGTGAATTTCCAATTGAGCAGTCAGGAGAGGGACTGATTGGCCGATTTTGCTTTACTTTTATTTCGCCCCAATAATTTTAGCTTCTCAAAAATACAAACATTTGATCAGACGTCCTTTTCCTCTCATCAAATAACTGGCTCTATTTCTTTCACTTCCAAGTACCGGACTCCGTTCCACCGCCCACTGCAATGCAGATTCTCAATGGCTTCAGTGCCAAGGTGAGCTGGGCTCCACCCACTGGTGATGTCAGAGGTGTGATTGACAGGTATGAGTTGCGAGCCTACCGGAGAGAGCAGCCAGCGGTGCCTCTGATCAAAGCCATATACCTGGCTAATGGAAATTTCACAGGTAAATACCGCTGAGCAATAAAGAATATGAACAAATGTATTATTGTTATTATTATTATTAAAATAGACAATGTTTGGGTTTGGGGTTTCAACAGTCCCCACTTGTCTGAGTTACAACTTGCAATCTAACTGCATTTTTCATGATCATTATTTTTTAAGTAATTATTTACATGTTATTTTAAATATTGGAACTACACCCCAACTTTCACAACTAATGTAATAACTTTTGTTTTTTTGCTGAGCATGTTCTTGCCACAACTTTTCTTTCATATCGGCCCTGGGTAAAAACACATCGTCGCTGTCCTTTTTACTCACCGCATGCTCTTCCTGACAAAAACAGACACTCTTGGTTGCATGCAAACCTGTTAATGTCTCCTTGGCAAGCCCCCAGCATTTGCAGACTGTCTTCATTTGGAGCGAGACACTCAACACTATCCCCGTGATGTCATACATTGGCATCGCTCCTTCCAACTCTCTCTGTTTTCGATCTTTCCCCGCCTCATCTTCAACACCGACGATGATGATGGCGTCCGCTGCTGCTATTCGTCCCCCATCTCGTCCACGCTTCCATGTCTCCAGGCAAATATGAAGATGAGCTCGCCCCATCCCAGTCGTTCTCAATGTCTCCTGTATGGCTCCACGTCCCTCCCCTCAGTCTTTGCCGAACATAATGTCCAAGCATGATAAGGCTTCTTGTTAATTTATGATGGCCCCGACATCTGACTGCGGAATCACACCGACGGCTCGAAAACACAGAACGCAAATGAGGGTGTAATGGCAGTGGAGTGGGGCCTCGGCCTCTAATTGAATTAAAAGACGGGCGGCAAAGAGAGAGAGAAAGGGTGAGCGAGGCTCTATCAGACAAGTAGAGGTTGACTGACGATGAGTGGGGCTAACAGTGAAAAAGTGGATGGGGACAGAAAAAAGACAATAAAAAGGACACTCCACTTGCCAACTGCAGTACTTCTACATAGCAACAGCGTCACAGAGAGCTGATGACCAAAGTACCTGTTTACATCAGCCTCAAGAATAAGGCGCCGAGAGGGATAGTGAAAGGCTTTAACTTGGGCACGATCAAATTCAGATGCCATCCAGGCCTTGCTTTAAAACATTTTTAGAACTTAAGAAGCCTTTTGGGTTTAAGGTGAAATATATTCAGCAAACAAAAAGAGCCCAGTTGCCTTCATTCAACTTTTGTGATAAGATTTCGCAAGCCACCTAATACAAAAGTCTCCAAAAACAATCAAACAACGGGAATACCGAAACTGGACTCATCTGATGTCATGAGCGACAAGGTTTGTTTTGAATGAATTTCATGCATGTGATGACGCCACACCTTGAATATTTCTTCTGAAGACACACAAAGTCCTTCTTTAGGTGTTCCCCTATTCATGTGCTGCTGGAGACTGTGACCTGATGGTCATTTGCTTGCGCTTAAAATAAATAAATGTATGATTTCAATTTTTCTAAATGCGCATAGATTTTTAGATTAAATGTGTTAATTCAATGCATTTATTTACAAAAATTTCAAGGTTAGGGTTGGGCACCTGTTCTCTCGGAGTGATCATCGGAACTCTTACCCCAACCTCAAAATAAAACCAATCCTCCTCTTTTCCAGGTGTGATGTCCGGTCTCACGCCGTCCACTCAATACGTGATCACTGTAAGCGCTTGTATGGTGACTGGCTGCACAGAGAGTCTGGGCAATGAGCACTCTGATGTTACTGATTTGAGATCAGTCCTCAAAACCCCCGAAGAAGGTACAACAGTGATACGAGCACACTTTAATATCACATTTCTTTCTCTACCGCTTAGGACTAGATTTTTACTTTCCAAACACTTCACCGTAGTGGCAAAGATGTAGTGCGTATACACTACACTCCCCTCCAAAAGTATTGAAATGGCAAGGTCGATTCCTTTTTTGTGTTTTTATACTGAAGACATTTGGTGTCTGATCGAAAAAAAAAAAGAGAGAGAGGTAGAGAGAGAGAGAGTTCTAGCTAGCGAGCTAGCACGTCCGCCTCACAGTACAAAGAAGCAGGGTTCAATTCCAGGCCCTGGCCTACCTGTGTGGAGTTTGCATGTTCTCCCCGTGTCTGCGTGGCTTTTATTCAGGTACTCCGGTTTCCTCCCACATTCCAAAAACACGCACGGAAGGTTAACTGAACACTCAAACTTGTCACTCGGTGTGACTGTGAGTGTGAATGGTTGTTCATCCATGTGTGCCCTGTGAGTGGCTGGGGACCAATTCAGGGTGTGCCCCGCCTACCGCCTGAAGACAGCTGGGATAGGCTCCATCAGACCCGTGACCCTCGTGAGGGTAAACAGTTTCAGATAATGGATGGATAGAACATATGAAAGATAAACATTTGTAGTTGTCAGAGGAAAGAAAAAGAAGAGTGACACAAGAAGGTGTGTCAGCTACGAATGAAACAAACAGGAGCAGGATAATGAGGACGAATACAGTAGAAGGGATGAAGCAGGATTTAATTAGACACTTTACAAGTGAGCAAAGGACATAGGAGTCTAGTTATGTCGCTTTCATGAGTGGCACAGTAAAGTACTTCTTTTTTTTTTTCTCCTCTCTTTTTCTTAGTCCCTACATTAGTCTGCTGTGGGACGAGCATGCCTTGTTGGGGGGATAACATGACAGTTGGGGTCAGTGCAGGTGTAGCAAAAATCAATTTCAAGTAAAAGAGGGGAAAAAAAGATTCGTATTGATTCACCCCGAGCCTTGAGTTAAGATATTGAATGGTGTTAGAGACTAAACATATCCAAAAGTATAAACACAAAAATATTGAACTGACTTTTCCTAAGGCTCATGAGCATATTTCAACATTTGTAATTTGGGTTGGAAATATCTTTTATGTCACTAGTCCCTGAACTTTCCTAACGCAAGTTGTAATTTTCCCATTTTTTTATTTTTATTAACGTGCTCATAACCATATGAACATATAGATCTTCCTTTATCCTCAGCTCCTGATGGTGTTTTTGCTCCAAGTGCACTCTCATCACCCTCAGCTCTGTTCGTCAACTGGAAAGCTCCAGCAAGGTAAGTATACATAATTTCGTCATCTTTTATTTACAATTTTTTTTTACCTTTTGATTATTTTCCTAAATGTATGAAGTATAATTTTATAGCATATAAAAGCCAATATTTTTTACAGTATTAACTACTGAATAATGTCCTTATACAGCCCCCATCTCACTTTTTTTTTTCTGCCACTGATAGGCCCAATGGTGTCATTACGGAATACCGCCTCTATCAGAATAACCAAATGGTCTACAGCGGAGAGGAGGGACACCACAACATTACTGGTACCCAGAGAGCGATAATGCACGTGTGTGTCTGAGTGCGTATGCATATCTCAGCCTCGGGACGCAGCCCTAGCGTAAAAAGAAAAAGGGGGGAAGAGTGACGAAAAGCAAAATGGCGAAGGTTATTTGCATTTGAAAGAGCAGAACGGGCATCGCTGTTCTTAACATGGGAATAGCACTTGAAAATACACATGCTTGAAACTGCGGCGGCGGAGAAACAAAGAACACTCCATAGCGGCACGATTGCCAACACACAGTTTGCCTTGAAAAGGTACACGAGAGACTGAAAGAGTAAAAAAAAAAAAACACACGCTCCACCACTGAGAACTTTAGATGCAAATCGACATCGGGAGACATATACAGTATTTATAACTTGCAGAAGCTCTCATTGGTATATAAACACACAACAGAGATTGAATTTAAATGTATAAATCCATCTCTTTACATTGTACAGTGTGTGTGCCGGTGTCTGTTTGGGTCAATGAAGGCAACAAACGTATCATTCATACCGGTTTAATAATGTGTCCGATGTTCACTCTGATTGGAAGGATTGCGAGCATAGTAATTATACGCTATGCAAAGGAGGGGCAGCAGGCAAAGAGAAATGATCGCAAAGTAAACCAGGAATATTCGGCCTGCGCAGGTTGATTGTGGAGAAGAGATTGTGTGGAAAATACCCACTCGCACAGGACACTTGATTAGGTACACCTACAATACAACGAGAAAATTCTTTACAAAGCCAATTATTTTTGATTGACAGTTGTATTTTTTGTTAAATTATTAATTTCACAATATGTTGATTGCCTCTTCCAATATCGTGCTTTTTGTTTGTTTGTAGTGGAATTACTATTTGAGTTTAAAGAATATTTTTGAAAATGATTAATTCAATCAATTAATTTTGACAAAAATTCTGAGGAATTTTATCATGCTGTTGTCATATTTATGAGTGAAATACGATGACATCCACCACACACATTTGCGGATCACAGAGTCTGTTTGCCTGCTCCTCGATCAAATACGGCAAAATCTCGTTACAACACCCGTGTTACCGTTTTGAACTGTTTTTAACTTTTTTTTTTCCCATCAAATTTGCAGGTGTAAAGGGCATTACAGCTTTTGCGTTTTCGGTCTTATGACTGCAGGTGTACCTAATGTTGTGGCTATTGGGTGTAGCTTTCTCGCCATGCTTGGATTCGTTTCATGAAACGATGCCATCATTCATCCTCCCTGTCTGTTTCATGCTGCCTCGCTGTGCATTTCAGGGCTTGGCGTCTATACCGCTCACGTCCTGCTGCTGTCTGCATGCACTGCTGTGGGATGCACCAACAGTTCAAAGGTCACCATGTTGACCTCTCAGCTTCCTCCCGGGCCGCTACTAACGCCAACCCTGACCTTGCTCGACTCACGGACCATTCTGGTGGAGTAAGTGCTCACTGTCGTTCTCAGAATTCGACATTACACTGCACGAAAGAATGGAACAGCAATGAAGGCATCTCGTAGATGCGCATCAGTCGCACATTCTGCCGAGGGAGGGAAAGGGCAGCAGCGCTCGGGTGACCTTCTGAAGTTGTGTTTACCATGCAGAATATTCACTTGACACACTACACTTGACCTTTCGTCTCTAGAGGGAGGAAGATAAATCTCTTACACCTTTTACCGTCCTGGTCATTTGAAAATGTCGCTGGACAGTGTGTACGTGTTTACGAGCGTGGTGTGTTCACAACAAGCTGTAGTGTCACAGAAAGAAATGAAAAAGACTTGCAAAGGGAAACACGACGCCAATACTGGCTTCTTTCTTCTACATGACTTACCAGCAGCCGAATTGTGAAGTTTCGCAAATATTTAAACACAAATCCCGTTCATTCAAGATGACTTGCATGATGACATCAAGGTCGGAAATCATCAAAGGGCGGATTGTTTACATACGGTGCTTAATTGTATGACAGTTAACAACTTAAAATGTTGATTAAGACTTTCATCGGTTCCAGCAGTTACCTAATTTTTTCTTTGTGTACGACCCATCTCTCCACAAAGATTCTGTAAACATAAAACTTCTTGGCAAATCACAAAACACTTTCCTGTAGAAGGTCTTCCCCCTCCGCTGCTTTTAAAAACATACGAGCTATACGTGTATCTTTTGTCTAGTGGTGACGGCTTTGGAAAACAAATTGTAATATTTCATCCTTGGTAGTAGTGCCATCCATGCACCGGTGTAACATATTGTACTGTGAGTATTGAAACTCTTTTCAGCTATAAATTCACCTGCTGTGGGAAGGAATTTGTATTGCCTTGTTAGCACGTTGGCAACAGGCAGGGGTTGAAAGATCACATGTGGTCAATATTTCCCCATTGTCTACGAGAAAGGCTGAGGAAGACAGAAATGTGCAACATCTATGAGAAAAATGAAGAGAGCGAAAGGGGTAAGTGATTAATTGAGAGCTTGACGGGGAGGGGGGGAAAAAAGAGGATGCAAAAAATGCAAGAAATGGAAGGAAGCGAGGGTGAGAGATTGTGAGAAAGGTTGAGGGAGGCTCCGCGATGGGGATGAAGCGATATCAGCAGATTTATCCTCTGCCCTCACATCACAATGCCTCACACAAATACATTCATGAGTGCACACAATAAGATATTTGCACAGAGAAATGCGAGCTTTCTGAAACATCAAGCTTTTTCAATATTATTGCTGCGCGTGTATGCTTTTCTGAATGAATGGCCAAACATTCTCACATACTCTGTCTTGTTGAACATCTTCCCAGAAAGGAAACTGTTTATACAGTGGGGAGGGGGGGGGATTCTACTCACCCCTGTTCCAAGGCCAGGATTTTGTGATATAAAAAAAAAGAGACTTAGATGTTTCCAGCATTAGTGTGGCCCTACAACCTGTAGATTAAAAAATATAATTTGAGAGGGGAAGTCAAAATGAATGACTGAAGTAATGCGGTGGCACAAGTATGCACAACCTCCTTTAGCAGGGATGTTGTGATCAGATTTAATCAGTCGCATTTAAACAAAAGTTAGAAATTGGAATCAGCCCACACATCTTTCTTAATTTCATGCACAAAATTTTGTGGGCGTGACAAAATGCAAACCAAAGCTTTTTGCGATTTCCTCGGCTAATCATACAGAATGCTTGACTCGATGATTTGAAAGTGCAAATTTCACAGTCTCGCAGTCTTTCGAAACACTTATGTGGGTTCTTCTTTGCGTCACCAGGTGGTCTCGCCCCTCTCAGGTCAATGGTGTTCTGCAGTTCTATGCCGTCTTCGTCTCACAGGATGGGGCAGAGCCCACCGTCGTCCACAACAGTTCAAAACTCGTTGAAGAGCACACGCTCCGCAACCTCACTCCTGGCACGGCCTACGCCATCACAGTGGCTGTGAGTCTTTGGATCCTTATTTTCACCCACCTCTCTTGAATTCTTGAGTGTGTTTGTGTGCGCACTTCAGGCTTGCACAGGCGCTGGCTGCACCCGAAGCCCCTCTGCTCAGGTTGTCACAGAGGAAAGCACGCCAGAGAATGTGCCAGCCCCACTGGTCACCCCTTTGTCCCCACATGCTCTCAACGTCAGCTGGACCGCTCCTGATACTCCGAACGGTGAGGCGTGCAAGTCCTTTTTGTCATATATCCGGATGCATGCATTGCTAATATGAACCAAACATACATATACATTTTGCAAACAAAGTTTTCCCCTCCTAGACTCCATTAAATAGTTTTGGCATATGTTGTTGTTTAGAAAAAAATAACAAATGAAAGAGAACATCATGAGACTTAAAGGGTGAAATTCAGTGCATCAGTGTAATCATGATCCCGTCCATGGCAGAACAAACAGGTACAAGACCTCAGTGTTGTTCAGATCGACCACACATGAGGGCAAAAAACAATGTTAAATAATAATCATATGAATATGCATCGGGGTTGAAGTAAGGAGAGAGAGAAACCGAGAGGATTGTGAATCAAGGAGGCCGTACAGTGTCATGCAGGAAATTGACGGCACACTCGGAGCGAGAAGAGCGCGCCGTCTCCCTTTTCTCCTTTAAGTGGAGGCAAAGTGCTCCCTTTTGACTGAGAAGAGAACTGCAGGCTGGAAGGCCTCCCCTCACAGCCTCTCTCCTTGTCTCCCCCTCTCCCTCTGTCCGTTACGTTTTAATTCCATTCAATCTACCCGCAGTGAATTAAAATGCATTGTATGCCACCGACCTGCCTCCTGTACTTTGAATGAGAATTGGGGGCCACGACACCACAGAATGCTGTTCTATACGCGCGAGATTGTAGATGCAGTCATACATCGTCCGTGCAATATTCTGAAATTCCAGTTCAATTAGATTCAAACGCTTCCCATGTTGAAGAACTTGAGACAAAGATGGAAGCACATTGTGAGCTTATATTTTTTTTAAACAACCGCCAGTATTTCTTCATTTTTGCCATTTGTGTGTTATAAACACGATGAAGCAATGTTGTTGTTGCAACTTTCAACGAGTTACTCGCATGCTTTGTTTGGCATCGTTTTTACGCTGAATGCCTTTCCGGACACAACCCACCGATGTGTTGTTTTTTTTTTTTTTTGTTTGCTTGTTTATTTGTTTGTTTTAAATCCAGCACGGACCGCAGTGCCCAGTATACAGCCTCGGACCGGGACTCAAAACTGAGCTATCCGCTTCAAAGGCAGCAGCATGTACTCATAGGATTGCGCAATAAATTACTTGAATGCCTGTCGCAAATATTCAAGGAGAGAATCTCCAACATATTTGGTCTCTGTAAAAACAACTTGTTTACCTCTGTTAACATGATAAACTTTGAGTAACATTATTATCTTCATACTTTGTGGCATTTTTTTTGTATAAACATTTCAGAATCTAATGATTTTCCCAATAATAATAATAATAACAACAACAAAAACCCGGATTATTTGAAGAGAGGGTACTTTCTTTTCATTGGACAGCGACCCTCAGACGATGTCACTTTTGGTTCTGATCCACATTAGGAACATCGCACAGGTCTGCTCTATCTCCGAATTTATCAACCCAATTCAACGTGTGTACGATACATAGTCTTCGCAACAACGGTCGACTGTAGATTTGGCACACACCACTTCGCACACACATGACATATTCATGATGAACTGACTGCTGTGTGTGATCACAAAACCAAATGAATTGAAAAGCATGTGAGGCTTTGCCAGCCAATTTCACAGTCTCCAACATACAAATGCACTGCTACATATTATCAAATGTTATTGTCATGCTCGTTAAAGTACGTGTAATTCCATATTGTGTGTCTGTGTGTGGTTGCGGTGTGAACTGTGTGCGCTTTACGCTTACTGCCACATGACTGCATTTCGCTCCATAAACCCTGCGATGTGTGCGCATATTAGCCAGGGTAAATTACTTAAAGCTTTCCTCATCTGACGACAGAAATGTCTAACATGGGAGACACTTAATCATGATTACCTGATTTCCTCATTGCTAATAGGCTTTCAGTTTTTTACAAAAAAAAAAAAAAAAAAAAGGCAGAGGAGCGCAACGCCCTTTTCGCCATGCTCCTCTTTTGGCGTCAAGAAATGACAATGAAACTGGTGATGGGTTATGGAGGAGTGAGATTTTGAATTATTTTCTCTCTCTCTCTCTCTCTCTCTCTCTCTCTCTCTCTCTCTCTCTCTCTCTCTCTCTCTCTCTCTCTCCCTCCCTCCTTCTCCCCAATTCCGCAGGGATTTGTGGGGGATAATCCTCTCGGGGATTAGGTCGGGGCAACATGCAGACAAAGAGGGGAAATAAGCCTGTTATGCATTCGCTGCTTCATTTCCCAACCTGTCTTTATTACAGCCTATACTGATATGGGCTTATTCACGCACACACGCGTCCATACACACACACACACACACACAAACACGCACGCACCCTCGCATGCATGTGATTGGCCACATTAAGAGCTCCCCTGATGTAACTCGTGTCCGCGGGGTTTTTGTGTCTTCGTTTTCCTGATAGGTGTGTGTATCTGTATTGAGCAATAATAAAACCCACACATGATTAAAGCAGAATAGACTCTTAGTTCTTACCACTGATCTTTTGAGCTCCCCCAGTATGCATTTTTATTAAGGAAAAGTACATTTGGGTGCCATTTCCTTTTTTATTAGGTGGAAGTAGTGTCATGTAATTACTGGGCTGGCATCTATGTGTGCATGGCCTTGTACTGTATCGTGTCTGTGTAGACTGTATATGCACCTGTGCGTACTTGTGCGTGCACACACACACATTTAATGGCACCAATATGTGTGAGCGCATGCCATGAGTCTCATTCAGGTTATTCTTTCAATCTCTTGGCAGTGTTAGGGCTGTCTTTGTCTTTCAGTCACACGCCCGAAGGCCCATTTTCACTTTTTTTGCAGCACATTCCCATCCAAAGGCCCGTTATCGAAAATCACAATACTAATTTCCATGCAGTTTGCTCACAGTGCAAGTGACGACAACTGACTGAGGCGAGATCGGGATGACTAGTTTCCCATGTGACATACCAAAGTCCATCCATCCATTTTCCACAGTGCTTATCTACATTCGGTTTGCGTGTGAGCTGGAGCCTCCCTCAGATGAGTTTAGGCCAGAGGCAGCGTACATCCTGGACTGGTCACTAGCCCATCACACAGATGCAAAATCATTGAAAGATTCACTGCTCACAAAAAAAGAAACAAATTGTGCTATTAGGCTTCCGGATGAAATTTCAGCATGACCCTAAAATGCACTGGAACCTTGCAGGTGAATTTGACCTTATCTCATGTTTGGATCTGTTTTATCCTGAACTTTCACCTGAAACCCAACAAACACTGTTAATTATTCAGGATTACCTACAGGATGAGTGTCCTGGATTCACACGACACACTGAACCATCTGTAGACCCTTATTTACCCTATTTGCTTTTCACTTCCTGTCGATATCACGTGCAGCTATCATTATACTTTTGCCCAACTACAATGACATACATTTTGTCATTCTATACTTCCTGCATTTCCTTTTTTTTCCCCACTCAGGCATAATAACCAGCTATGGCCTTTGGATGGACAGTGTTCTTATATCAGAATGCAGTTCCTCCCAGAGTTTCTTTGTGGTGAAGGAGCTTTCCCCATGGAGCAGACACGTACTCAGGCTGCAGGCATGTACGGCGCGTGGCTGTGGCAAGGGACCAATGGTGAGTGAGAATTTTGCTGGCTCACATCCACATGTACAGTGGATGCGATGAGTCATATTGTCAACACAAAGATGGCTGTTAACAGCTGCTCATGATTGAATTTTATGAGTATTATTATCTTTGTAAAAGTATCTTTTGACATATCCCAGTGTTGTTTCTCATACGGTATGCTGCAGGATAATGTGTGCGGATTATTCCGTTGACCACGAAACACAGTAAAGCAATATAATAGGTATGGCAAGCGTGAAAAAAATATTTGTGCATTGGTGTGCACGTGCGTGCTACCGGGTGTCATAAAGGTGATCGATTCTCCCAGCTCAATAACGAGGGTCGGCGTGACGACAGTGACATTTTCTGGGAAATGTCACTCGTTGCTCAACGATGCCTCTGACGACAGGCCGTATTTTGGGGCATTTTTCCAATACGGGACGTCATATTTAGTTGAACACGAAAAACAGCTGACACAGGCGAACAAGAGAATTGGAAGCGGGTGAGCGACACAATGAAAGGGAGACAATCAGGAAAGCATCGTGTGGATGGCAAAAATAGAGGGGTGGAAAAAAGAAGGGATTGTAGAGAACCAAGAAGAATTAGTAGAGCAAGCAAATGCACTTTCCTTCTTAGATAGCCATCGTTTTCTAATCATGCATGTGTCAATACTCACAAACATGAGGAAGATTCCTGGACTTCCACATTCATCCAGATACTCACTCATATGTACCCTTTCACCGGATTTTGAAGGTTTGGTGGCATGTTTTGCCTAATCCTGCTCACTGATTAGGACATGTTGTGTATCTGTATTTTAACACATTTTTGTGTTTGTTTTTTTATATCAGGTAGAAGTGCGCACATTAGAGATGGCCCCAGAAGGTCCAATATTGCTCGAAGTGACCAATCAAAGCTCTCGGTCACTGCGAGCACGCTGGACTTCTCCGCCTAGACCCAATGGCGACATGAGATACACTCTATACCATAAAAGTGAAGGTAATTTGTTCATTTAATCATATTGTTTCTTGGCTATTCATCGTTAACAATACACTGAGTTGGATCATAGAGCTATCAATATCGAGTACCACATAAATGTTTTTATATTTAACTTTGTCAAAGTTCATTCAGTTGAGCATCAAATTGTGGATACTTCTCAGGAAAAATGTGCCTCTAAGTCGACACTAAAACGTGGATGTCAAACTGCCATGCAGTGTCAACACATCATGACGATACTTGATGATGTTCCACAATGTCTAACTTTGGAGTTAGTTTTTATTCATTAAACCTCAGCGTTTCAGCATGTTCAGCTTTTCTTGTGAGCATGACTCGCACACTTACAAATGTGACCTTTTTAAAATAAGTTCATGGCAGATCAGTGAAACACAACAATATGTCTGCAAAGACACTGTATACCGACACAGTAACTTTGTGTGAAAGTCAGGTGAAAAAAAAAAGGCATGCCTGATAAGAAGAATAATCAAATTGTTGTGGTGGTGGAGAAAAACTGGAGAAATGATTTCACCTGTGTGGCTTGGGGAGGATTCATGAGACCAAAGTTAAAAAAAAAACAACAAAAAAAACAGAAAACAAAAGTATGAAGATTGAGTGGAGAACAAAGTCAAGTTTCCGTAAAGCAACAGGATGAGATTCACGCTCCCGTAGATGTATCGGAAAAGATTGCAAGTCGCAAGTAGGCAACACATGACAAACAACACAACAGCGGAAATAGAGCCCAAACAAACAAGAAAAGCGCACAGGAAGGGAGGGAAGAAGAAAATTGAACAAAATGAGAAGAGAACGACTGAGCACAAACTCGCACAGTGCTCCTTTAACTTGCACAGATTCATCAAGTCACGCGCGCGCACGCACACACCGGCGCACTCTAGTCAGTGTTTGATCTGCGCCTCACGCAGGAACAGACAGATTAAAACGAGTGGAGGGAGGGATAGAAGAGGTGCACAAGAAAGAGAGGGGGTGGGTGTCTCGCTCTAGTTCCCCATAAGCCAGTGTTGCTTTGATACGGCGCGCCTTCATCAGTTCACACAGGCCTGATATGTGTTTGGGTGCATCTGTCCATCTAAATATATTGGATAGGCTTGCATTGTGGGATTTTCTGATCCCTTTTCTTTGACTATCCCTGCATAACCTCAATATGGAAAACTCTCTTTTGATCATTCCCAGTTAGTATTCCTCTCTCTTCAACTCGTTCTCCCGCCTCCATTTCCCCATTCCACGTGCGTATGTTTTATTAATCAGATTCTGGCCGTCACGCTGATGACGCTAATAAATAAATGCACCATGGCAATAACGTCACTCCACGTATGCAACATCCTCCGTAAAGGTTTACGGCACTTCTCTTATCTGTCGTCTGTCAGATGGCGACGTGGTGCAGGACGCGGGCACGGCGGCCGGCGGGGGGTTGACTTTGACGGACCTGCGGCCGTACACCAACTACAGCTTCTGGGTCGAAGGTTGCAACACGCAGGGATGTGTGGAGAGCCCGGCGCTTAATGTTACTACGTCTCCAGCAGGTTAGCGCAAATGCAAAAACCTCCTTCAGCAACTCTCTGACTTTGGTCGTCCTCGAGCCTCATCGCAGGGAGAATTTTGTGGGCTTCGTTTTGGCACAATCCCAATGAGGCCAAAAGCGGCCAGTCGGAGAGACTGACTGCATAACTCCAAAAGTGACGTAACAAGGCACATGATGCACAAACGCACCTCAGTGCTTTAGTCAATGTTAACCAAAGAGTTGAAGACAGGCTCGTGTGTGTGTGTATATGGCACCCATTTCCCAAACAACAAAAGACTCGCTCAAGAAAGTTCCAGTGTTCAAGTTCAAAACAAAGACATGAGAAAGTATAAATTTTAAATAGCAGACGTTTCCTCTCTTTCCAAGCGGCTTTCTACCTTCTGCGCCTCTGGCATCTCTTTAGACGTCTTTAAGGCAAACTGTCTTGATGCGTCCTTGTTCCGTGAAAGAACAGAGGCGAGCGAGCCGAGCAGGAGACACAAGAGGAGAGGAGGAGGAGAGCAGGCCCAGAGAAGTGAACATAAAAGTGCATAGTTTAAAACGATTAGTGACACGTCTGATATTGTACCTGCTAACGCAGCATGAGAGAGACAAAGGCCCACGATTGTGTGTGTGTGTGTGTGTGTGTGTGTGTGTGTGTGTGTGTGTGTGTGTGTGTGTGTGTGTGT